CTCCATTCGCTAGTGACCGAGCCGCCCGCGCCGTCTCGATATTTCTCCACCTGCCCTGGTGCGGTGCTTCCCTGCGCTTGATCACCCAAGCTGGCTCCGAATCCACCCCCTCGAACTGGCGCGGCGCGAGCGGGGCGGGCGAGCTGCCGGGACAGCGAGCGGAACAGTAAGCAAGTGAGTGAGAAAATGCTCGCGACGTCCAGACAACTCCGCACCTACAAAGTCGCGCATCGGAGAAGCAAGCTAGGTTTGCGCGCGCAGTCGCCGCGCTGCGAAACCGCCTAGAAGGCCAGCGCCCACGACGCATAGACAACACCTGATGCCGCTAACAAAACATTCGCTTACACAACACCGTGCCCGATGCAGGCCACCGATTGGCGATTGCCAGCACAAACCCTAACATTTGTAACCCGCGGTGCGCAATAATGTGAGCATGAACCCTTGACTTCGACGACAGGCATGGACGACGCGGCACTCCTCCCACATCACGCCATGCGCATCCGCACGCGGTCTCCTTCCCCACCACTCCCAGCATTCGCCGCCTCCTCGGGGGCGGCGGCGCGCGCGCCCACGGGCGGGACTCACGCGTGTTAACATCCAGGAGCAAATCCCGATAGTACTCGTCCGCTTGCAGAATATCTCGCTCGAAGTGCGCGAATGGACAGACACCGCAAATGAGAGGCCGCGCATCCCGCGGCTCGCGGGGACCCTGGTCCCAACCGCCGACAAGGCAACGCTATCATTCGCATGTTTTAACGCGACCAGATGCTGACCATGCGGCACATCCGATAGCGACCCGAAAGCTCCCATGCTGCACCATCCAGCAGAAATCGCTTCCATGTGCGATATCAGTTCTGGCCATATCCAACGGAGGCATCGTCGAACAAGTCCGAACAACCGAGGGACGAGCGCAAGGAGACGAATATCCCTCCCATGAAGAGATGCCGACGTGTCCTGTTGGGTCACGTTCTGCTTGTATCTTCTAGACACCAGGGACGCAGCTAGGTCCCGACTCAAATTCTTCAATCAGGGACGCGAGTTCCGCCGCCGACGCAGTTCTCCCCGCGCCCAGCTTCGCAATCAGGTCGGCCGCGTACTCAGTCAAAGAGAAACCCAAGGAGCTTCCGAAGAAAACATATTACATGCCTCGAGTGCCCGACTCTTGAAGCCACTCTAATCTTGTCCTTCCTACCACCCATCACCAACAGGCGCGCAAGCATGCGAATTCATCGCACGGCGCAAGCATCGCCCATGCGCCCGCCCCAGTCAGGCCGAAGAACCAAGTAATCGCCACGCCTAGCAGATGTTAAAGTCGAACGGCGAATGCGATGAGCCCCAAAGCCAGAAACTCCGAATCAAACGCGTCAAGCAGCGTGGCCATCATCGCCACCGTTGCAATTTAGGAAAAAAGTGTGCCACATCGTGCGCTTTCGTGATGCGTGGCCAACCAAATTCATTAAGTTTGTGCGTAATGTTATTCCGAATCAAAACCGTTTTTGTCCGCGCCGGTGGCGAGGAACACAACTTCATGGTCCTGATGCCCATGACGCCCCTGCCCTCGGATTATCATCGACTGAGCAAACCCATGCTTACCAATCGGGTTAAGCAAATGCATCCACCTAGTACGACCATCCTTCCGAGGAAGAAGACGCCCGTTGACTGCGATGCCGCCGAAAAGGGGTTGCCCACAAACGCGACGTCTAGCGAAACCCTCATGCACCAATTCGCAAAACCCGGGAGCCTGCATTGCCTCGCAAGGCCCTCCGACGCCTTGCCCACGAGAAGACGCACCCCGATTCGGATGGAGCCACATCCACCATAGCTCAAGATGTGGGGCCCATTCTGGAATAGCTCCACGTTTGCCTGCTCGCCAAAACCAGCCGCGAACCCATCGGAGATCCCGACGCGCTTCCAGACGATCGCGTTGAGACATATCTCACAAAAGAGCGTCCTCGATCAGAGGTTCACGATAGCCTCTCAAATCCGTTACCTTCCTGGCCGCCGTCCCCCCCGCGGATCCTCCTCGAGAGTACTGCCGATAGAGCTCTTTGCAAGACTCAACTACTCCCCGAACTGCTCCATCATCGGTTTCCTGGATCCAAGACAAGAGCCAGCAGCGAGACGAAGGATGCGTGTGTAGCTTCTGCTAGCCTACGGTGTCCCCCCATCTCCCCTACCTCCTCCACCAGCGCATTCTGATGTCGACGACGCTCGCGAGCGCGATGTTTCTGGCAGGCCCGACTAATCTTCTGAACCTCGTCATTCAAAATCTCCTCCTCATCAGCCGTGCGAGAGCCAGCTAAACCCAATCAAACTTCACGGCGTTTATCTAGAGGTGCCTCCCTGTCCTCATCCTGCGGGCTCCTCCTCTGGGACTGCGCAGCTGGTTTAGAATAGTACTGCGGACTCTCCTCTTTCACGATTGCGTTGTGATATGGTGGAGGAAGTGATCAGTAGCGGGCAACACTTGCAATCTGGAGACCACCTACTTCTCGCGAGGTATACGAAATTCGATCGGCTCAAGAGCTCACGACGATGCTCTCCTCCCCGAACTCCTCGCATCAACAACTTCATATCCAAACAAAGCCGATCTGGTGCCACGCGACACTGACCTCCAGGCGGGAACACACACACACACGGAAACGCCGCATGGACAAGCCCAGGATCGGTCGCACGCTGAGTACAAAAGAATTGCCACCCGCGGCCCAACCGCGATAAGGATCCAACGCTGGTCAGAATTGCGACCGAATCTCTGGGAATAACAAATAGATCTGGAGAGTACTCCCAACCATTACGTCGTGCGGATGAGGCTGTTCCGTTTGACTCGTCGTCGTCGTCGTCGTCGTCGTCGTCGTGGTCGTTGTTGTTGTCGTCGTCGTCGTCGCCTTCGCCGCTCCCCTCAGCTTTCCCTAGGCCCGTCGCCGCTCCCCCCACTTCCACCGGGCCCTCCTGCTCGAACGCGCCAGCCACGACAAAATTGAGCAACATTGTACTGTTGAGTCGAAAGGAAGCCCCTTCCCTTTGATCCCTTCCCCACTGGTGTGGGGGGTCCCGGGGGTTCCGGGGGGGAGTCCCGGGGAAGTCCCAGGGGCGGGTCCCGGGGGGGTCGCCAACCAGATACGACTCCCGCCTGGGCGGTTCGGGGGGCCCAAAAAGCCAAAAGACGCGGCAGACGTGCCCCAAGATGCCCCCAAAAGGGTCCTCGAGGGCTCTGGATCGCCGAAATATCGGTCGAAGTCGCCAGAAAGTAATTCGCCTCCAGACGGCTGAAAATATTTCCAAATGCCCCAAGAGGCCTCCAAGAGGACTTCCAATAGGGCCCCCACGGGCAACACTCATCGGTGTCCCTTAAGTTTGTGAAAGGTTTCGGCATTCTCGCCTTGCCAGCTTCCCGACGCTCCAAGACAGGCCAAGAGGCCCCCAAGACCGCGCAAAGATGGCCCAAGAGGTCTCCAAGGGCCCCAAAAGGACCCAAGAGGGTCCCAAGACCGCCCAAGAAACCTCCAAGACAGCCGAAGAGGCCCCCAAGACGGCTCCAAGAGGGAGCCCAGACGGGGCCAGGAGGCTCCAGACGCCTCTGAGAAGTCCCCCAAGAGGCCCCAATAGGCCCCCAAGAGGCCCCCACGAGGCCCCCAAGAGGCCCCCAAGAGCATGCCAGAGGCTCCCAAGCTACCCCCAGGAGGCCCCCGAGAGCGCTCGTCGTCGTGGCCGTGGCCGTTGCCATGGTCGTGGTCGTGGTCGTGGTCGTGGTCGCGGTCTTGTTCGTGGTCGTGGTCGTGGTTGTCGTCGTCGTCGTCGTCGTCGTCGTCGTCGTCGTCGTTGTCGTCGTCGCCACTCAGGGTCGGCGGCACCGGCCGTAAGGCCTTCGCAATATCTGTAGAAGGCTCCCGTCCATGATGTCCCAAGGAAGTTGACGAACAGCCGCGGTACGCAGTCGTAGTCGCAGTTGCAGTCGTAACCTGCATGTACATGTAATATCTGAGCAAACCCACCACCAGCAAGTTGACTCTGAGTCGCCGTCTCAAGTGGCGAGACCAAGTCGTTCGTACTGCCACTCACCGTTGCAATGTACCAAACCCCGCCCGTCGTTGAGATCTACTCCACTAGCTGGTGTCCTGCGAGCTGGCAGCCGAACAAGCTTGTCTCCGAGCCACTGTAAAAAGTTTCGTCACACTCGCACCACACTTCGCAAGAGCCGCCACCGCAACAGGCCGTGGAGCGAAGTATAGGGAGATTGCCGTAATGTCCAAGACGCATGGCTTCGCACGCGACACTAATCCACAACCCTGAAGTGGCGGTGGTGCGGATTCACACTGAATAGGTGTAATCTGCCTTGGCCCGAGACCCCGGGACAATCGACCATCCAGCCGAAGAATGCACAATCTGGGAAGTTGCCGCCCAGCCTCAATGACCTACCGCCCCCGAACAATTCGCCGACGCAGCCGTGTGCCCAGCGCCACATTCTGCTAGGTCTCCGATAAACACAGCACGTCAAAGTCGGCCGTTCTGGGCAGGATATCCTCCATGCGGTCTACCGAACTCGCGTCCAGTGGATTGTACTGCCCCGCCGTCAAACGAAAATGCATGGCGAGAATGAACGAAGAATGGCCAGCAGTCGGACCACCATGTAGAAGCAACACGTTGCAAAAGAAAGGGGGCTACAGTGAACGGCTGTGCTGGCCATGTAGCCGCGCGACTTGGCAACGTGGCTTCAGGGGGAAGAAGGGAAGAGAGGTGGCCAGGGGAGGAGGAAGGGCCCTTCAAAAGAGGCCCGTGTTCTGAGAAGGCACATTGTGTCCTCAGAAGGCCGCCCGCCCCATACCCTGCACAGCGTAAAGTACCGCCACACGTCGGTACGTGTCATCGATTCGAGCATCGAATCAAATGCAATCGGCGAGATGCCTCGTTATGTGGAGCTGGCCGGTGCACCATCGAGGTGGCGGAAAATGAACCGTCTGCCCAGCGGAATGCCTGGAACGGGCGGACCGCGCGCCGACCACCTGCTCGTCTTCTGCCTCTCCGGCACAGAATCCTCTGGGCGGCGAAAGCATGCCCCCCCCCTCCTCTTCCGCCTCCTCCTCCCTCCTCCTCCGCCTCGCCCCCCTCCTTCATCCATGATCCTCGTGAATAACTCCTCTCTGTCGCACCACCAGAGGTGTGGGTAAGGACGACCGGGCGCTTCGACTGAGACTTTTGCGCCGCGCATGGTCCTGAAACTTGGCATTTGAAATAGCTTCAAAGATGGAGGGCGGGTGCTTTTCAAAATATGGCTCTCGCCTAAACGCTGCGCACATTCGTCTGAGAAGTTGGCAGCAGTTCGAGGATGAAGGGCGGCTCGTTGTCGAAATGCATCTCGACTTAGCGCGGCACACAGTAATCTCAACATATCGCACCCGATTCAAGGGTTCGTATGGTTGAAGTCTCAGGACTTGCTTGCTGGCACGAAGGGGGATTGTCAGGATGCAACAGTCATGTTGATTCGCGGGATTGGAAACACAAAAACGGCGTTCTGTCACGAGATTGGATTGTCCAGACGCAGCAGTCACATTGATTCGCGGTGTTGAGCAACCAGGATCTGTGTTTGGTACGAGGAAAATTTCTCAAACGGTTATGTCCCACTGGGGCATTTCCCAGGAAGGGCCCCAATGGGACATTTTTCGGTTCGGTGGAAATTCCCATTAGGGGCACCTTTCCCGCAATGGAAATATATGGCTGTGGGAACCAATGAAGGAGGGCTTACTGCAACATCGCTGATGCGTCTTGGGTTTGCACCGGTCCACCTCCTCCTCATTCTCCTTCTTCCCCCCCCTCCCCCCCGCCGCCTCCCCCGCCTCCTCTCCCCCTTGCTCTCCAGCCCAGGCTTGCCCCCTCTCGGGCGCCTGGTAGTTTTTGGGTCATACCTCGGCGGCCGTTCGGAAAGATCTGGTCACCCCCAGGACGCTCCTGGCGAGGAGCAGCTGCTGGAAGGCATGCCGAGGCAGGAAACCGCCAAGGATTCGAGAACAAGGCCGACACCTCGTACCCCCAAAGCCTCGAATCTGGAACTTCGACCCTCCGGGCATCGATCAGTGCGGGGAGGGGCCCCAGGGACAGGATCACGGTGAATTGGCGTCTCCTCCTCATCCTCCTCCTCCGCCTCCTCCTCCCCCGTTAGAGGCACTGACGAGGTTGGGGGCGAAGGTGCCGAAACGCGCCCAGAGTCCAACAAGGCACGAGGGTGCAAACCCGACTTGTCTGGCTGATGCTCTGGGGGGGGGCGGCGGTGCTCATGGGAAGCTGCAGCACCGCTCAACGATGTGTTGTTAAACGAGCCTGCAGGGTGGGCCCGTTTTCCAGAGACCTCCCAGATGGGGTCCGAGCAGATGGGGTCCGATGATCGCGCAGCATCGCGGATGCATTGGCGATGCACTGGCGGTGCATCGACAATGCAACGGCGACGCATCGCCGAGGCATCGGCGACGTCGGCGTGGATGCAATCGGGTCCCACACCGAGCCGCATCGCCGATGCATCGGCGATGCGACGCGATCCTCCGACCACGTCCACTCCGACCCCGTGCAGGACCCCCTGATTCTTTCTGCTCGGTGCCCGCGCTGCCTTCTTCGGGCCCCCTGCTGCTGACGCGCCGCTCGCCGCCTCCTTTGGGGGCCTCCGCCTCCGCCTCCGCAGAAGGCCCGCTCCTCCCTCCCTCCGCCCTCGTCGCACGTCGCGCCCAACGGGGACAGGATCTGGGATGGCACCGCGCCGAACACGAGGTGCCCGAGGCTTATCGGCGGCGGGGCGTGGGGGGAAGTCGGAAGGAAAAGGCCTTCTCAGATGGCGGCGAAACTCCTCAGAAACCCTCGCGCCGACTGGGACATGTTCTGTGTCTTTGGGGCTACGGAAACTTCTCAGAAGGCCGGAGGCCTTCAGAGCCTTCTGAAAAGGCCTACCCCTTCTCACCTCCTCCTTTTCTCGCCGCCGAGCTTAGATAATCTTGCAAACGCTGGTGCACGTTTTCAGAATCTACATGTGTTTTCAGTTTGTGGCGTCTTTGTGTTACGTCTGAAGGTCCAGGGTCGGTCCGCGGCCCACCTGGTCGTTTTTTGTTTCTGTCAAGATCCAACTTGGTTCTACTTCGTTTTTGGATCTCACACTTCCGCGCCTGCCTGAGCATCCACATTCCACGGTACCTGTTCTCTTGTTAGCGGCAAATAAAAAAAAAACAAAAATGACACCACAAGCGTTTGAAAGAACGACTCACGCCTGACGGAAGACAACCCACAAGCGGACCAGGAGACACGAGGACTTGGCGTGGTTACGGTCATGCTCTGAATAGGACCGAGGCACTTGGGAGACAATCCCATGGCCAAGAATAGTGCGGAGATGAGATGGACGGTTGCCGAATGCCAGTATGGGGCGAGGCCGCTGGGGAGTGGCAGCGCTCGCCACCACCATGGACATGCTCCTCAAGTTCGGGGGCCAGGCCATTGTGTAGTATGCGTTCTGCCGCACGAGTTGGGCGGTCTCACGCCTCATACTCCTCCTTATCGTCTTCCTCCTCCTTCTCCTCCCCCTTCCTCCATCATCGTGACACACATGAGGGTACCTTACAGGAAGATGCCTTGACAGCCTGAAGGTTCTTGGTGGACAGCCAACAGACAGGAAACAGATGGCACCGCCCGAGGATGGTCCTTGGAGTTGCAGCTCATGTCCAAGAGGCGTGGGATTGGAGGGTGGGAGGGCTCACAACACAGAGGGATATCGTGATAGGAGGATGTGTTCGCGTTATCTCTCTCTCTCTCTTTCGCTCTCTCTGCCTCTCTCTCTATCTCTCTCCCCCTCTCTCTATATATGTATCGCTCTCTCTCTCTCTCTCTCTCTCTCTCATTGTTTTGTTCTCTCTCTCTCTCTCTCTCTCTCTCTCCCTCCCCCGTTTCACCTTCACTCCAAGCGCAGCCGAACAACGACGCCATGCGCACGCCTCCGAGCGGGATGGCCGCGAGGGTGGCGCCGCTCTTAGTAGTCGAGGGCCTCCTTAGAGGGTCCCTGCCTTCTGAGGAGACCCCCCCGTCTTCTTAGAAATGCCACCCCCCTCGCGCAACCCCCTCGAGCGCGTCGCCGAGGATAGAGGGAGGGGCACAATCCCTTTCTGAAGCGCAGGGAGGGGCACCCCGTGTTTCACATTCGCATCCGATGACCAATACATACCAGATTCGCTTCTTGGCTGGATCCAGGGGGACAGATATGCTATCACAATGTCGGAAGAGCAGAAGAGCAAGTTGTTTCAGGCATCGCCTGGGCAGCACGTTGATACAACATGTGCATGTTTCCAGCTGCTAACACCTTGAAGATCGCTGCCTTGGTTCTGCGCGTTGGCCCTTATCTGGGGCAGTGATTGCGCGTGTCAGCCGATAGGAGGGCCCCAATCCCCTCCGTACAATTCGTTGACGCCTCGGGTCCCAGTAGAACAGCCCCAACACGCCAAAATTAAGCAACACTTCGCGTGCGTCTGGAACCTCATCTCTTCTCCCGGGCGGTAGGTCACGTAGGGGGCAGTCAACGTGGTTTGAAGACAGGAGCAGGGGCTGTGCAGGGCCCCTCTTGCGTCAGCAGGGGGCCCGTCGAGGGGCCCTCGGGGCCCCTCAACGGGCTCCTTCCCTGCAGTCCCCGATTCCCCTATTCGTGCGTTGCTCCCACGTTACCGACCGCCCAAAGGGCCTGGAGGAACACCCTGTGCTTCTTTGAAGGGGCCCTGGGACACACACACACACACACACACACACACACACACACACACACACACACACACACACACACACACATATATATATACACACAAATAAACATATTCCCCATATTTTCCCATATTTTCTGGGTGTTTGTCTTCCCGCCCAATTCCCATATTTTCCCACATTTTCTTGGGAATCGACGATTCATTGTGTCTGTGTGTTTTTCCTCCTCCTGATTCTCATCCGCATCTCGGTTCTCCTCCTGTCCGGGGGTGGGCAGCGTCACCACAACGCCCTGTAGTGAGAGCTGCCAAGGGTCGCTCCACGTGCGTACGCCGCCGCATTCCGGGTGGCTGGTCCACTTCCGAATGCAAGCGCTGTCTCTGGCGAAACGCACGTCGATGAGCGAGACCTGCTGGGGACTGGCTGTACCACTGCGTCCACATGCCACTCTCGAGTGAACCCATGCTGGCCATCGCTCGGACGTCCATTCCCTGTGCCTTTTGTTCGGTGTCGTGCGTGGCTTTTTCGCCAAAGGGTCGAGGATGCTCCTCGATGGCCCTCGCCGCAGGAAACATGCGCACGTCCGAGCGATGCCAAGCATGCAGATGTCCCCTCGTCGCCTTGTCTGGGGGGGGGGGGGCGCTCCGCCGATGCCCGAGATCTGGCGGGCCCTGGGCCCCCCCCCCCCCCAGGGGTGTGGACTCGGAGCGCCTGGCCGAGCACGTGCTGGGCCAGCGCGAGTCGTGCGGACCATGGGCGTACACTGAGCGCGTCAGGGCGGGCGTATCAAGAGGCACACATCGGAGGCGACGGCAGGGGGAGAGTTGTCCCGGGGGCGGGCACTGCGTAAGACATCCCTCCGGGGGGCCTCTCGCCGACGACACGGGCCGTCGGCGCCCCTGGATACATGCACTGCTCCCTTCCCTGGGCGTGCTGACGAACACTGGACCGCAAAAACCCAAGACGGACTGGTCAAAAAGCGCTGGCACGCCCGAGTTTCAGCGACCCCGGGTCTTGGCCGCCGAAGGTCTTGAATGCTGCCCGCCTCCCCACCACCCCGAAGCTCTCGGCTGGCAATCAAATCAGACCTCGCTCACGCAGTGGGCGCCTCCTGCTCAGCCTGTGCGTACTAGGAGAAGGATGATGATGATGATGATGATGATGATGATGATGATGATGATGATGATGATGATGATGATGATGATGATGATGATGATGATGATGATGATGATGATGATGATGATGGGTATGATGGTGATGATGATGATGACGACGACGACGATGATGATGATGCTGATGATGATGATGCCGGTAACACCGAGGGGTGCAATGCCACACTCTAGCGACAGAAGCGCGCTGCCGCGTGCGCGAGGCGATCCGTAAGGCCACTAAGTTCATCATGCTGCCGTAATTGTAAGTGCCGGAGTGCGTCGCTGAGGTGTGAGTGCTTGATCTTGTGGTTCGTCTCGTACGCGATGAAAGTTGTCTTGAGCTCGTCGGCCGTTTTGGCATTCAAGGCGAGCGTATCGAACCGCTTCGGCGGCGGGCGCTTCCCGATGAGGCTGTACACGGTGGACCAGAGCGGGAAGCAGTCGGCGTAGTGCGTCCACTCGTCTCGGGCGGGACATCCGAACAGGCACGGGTGAACGACGGCCTCGTGGAGGCGCGCTGATGGTGATGGTGGTGATGATGATGATGATGGTGGTGGTGATGATGATGATGATGATGATGACGATGACGATGACGATGATGATGATGATGATGATGCTGATGATGATGATGATGATGATGATGATGATGATGATGATGATGATGATGATGATGATGATGATGATGATGATGATGATGATGATGATGATGATGATGATGATGATGATGATGATGATGATGATGATGATGATGATGATGATGATGATGATGATGATGATGATGATGATGATGATGATGATAGGGGGGCCCGTCGCCGATTCTCACGTCACTAATGTCGGCGGTGGACAAACCTCCCTTTAGTAAACCTCCCCTTAGTGGAAAACGGCCTGGGACCGAAAACGACGGACCGGAACCTGCAGAAATGACGGCCGCGACGCCCTCGCGAACCGAAAACGGCCAATTCCTTAATCGACGTGTCAGGGTAGGAGGTCGATCGACCTCCGATAATGATCGGTGCCTGCGGGCGAACTGCCCCTGACCCAGGCCCCAGCTGGCCGTCGCTCGGACGCCCATTCCCTTTCCCTATGCTTTTTTCGGTTTCGTGCGTGTTTTTTTTCGCCAAGTGATCAAGGATGCTCCTCGACGGTCCTCGCCGAAGGAAACATGCACACGTCCGAGCGATGCCAAGCAAAGGGGGTCGCGCGGCGCAGTTGCTGCCGTCCCGCCCCAGAGCGGAGAGGGAAAAGGAATGCAGAGGGAGGGGGGAGGCGCGAAGCGCGCACGGGGCGCAACAGCAGCCGAGCCCCATCGCTATTCCACACGTCGCCTGTAATCCATCTTGGCGCCTCCCCGAACAGTTGTCTTCGGTTGGGGGCGTGGCTCCGAGTCAGGCGCTGACTCCCGGGCAGGAGTCGCACAGGCGACGAGGGGGCCCGAAGTCGAGCCCGAGACGCGGCGAGGGCCCTTCCCCGCAAAAGTCGGCCATACGCAGAGTGACCCTGGGTAAGAGTGGCCTTTGGTGCGCGGCTTTTTGGGGGCCGCGGGGGGGACCGAACCTGGGCGTGCAAGCAGCTGCAGCTGCTTTGTTTGCAGCCATCTGGGGACCCCACCTGTGCCCGCACCAAGGGTCACTCCGGCGAAAGGTCACTCTCGGTCGAAAGGGAGCTCCTCCACGGGACCCGGGCGGGCCCAGGATCCCCGTCCTCCCCCGCGGGCGTCGGGCGTCCTTCGCCGGCACGGCTGCGCCGGGAGCGCGGGCCGCGGGCCGCGGGCCGCCGGGCGCCAGGGCGCCTGCGCAGGGCGCGGAGCCACCGCCGGGGGGGCCGTAGAGCACGTCCATGCGCACCGCGTACTTCGTGCCCTGGGCCCAGGCATGCCCGCGTGGCCAAAAATTAACCTGGCGAAGGACCCAACCAGATGCAGTTGTGAGTACCGCCGTCGTGGGTTTCGCCTTCGGTGTCGTCTGCGATGGGCCACGACACGCTATACTGAGCAGGGGGGGCGCATGCGAACTTTGCCACTGGGGCCTTCGGTGGAGTTCCCCATGGGCCACGAAGCGCTGTACTGGGTGGGGGAGACGCATGTGGACACCGCGTACTTCGTGCCCTGGGCCCACCCGCGTGGCCCCAAACAACATCTGATCGGGCAGCGCGTTGCCGTTTTCGGCATGTGGGCCCAGACATGCGCGGCGAACAAAAAATCAGGACGGGCAGTGTTTCACCGCTTTCGGCCTCCTAGGGCACTCGCCGGGCCTCAGGACCGTCAACAAAACGACACGGGGTGGGTGGAAAACTGGTTCTTGGGGTAAGGGTCGGGCTTTCTGGGGACAGCGTGCTGAAAAACTCAATACTTCATGCCCTAAGGGTCGAGTTCTTGGATCGGCGCTGGGGCCCCCTCCCAGGCGCCGAGGCTCCAGCGCTAGAGGCGCCGCCAGGGGACCTCCGAAAATGTACGTTTCTGCTGAGCTGCTGAATTTCCTTCTTCGGGTATATACCGCTCCGGGGCCCTCGAGTAGTTCTCGTCGCCCATCCGATGAGGTACAACGTTAGGGGGGCCCAGCTCAGGGGGTGGAAACATCGAGATCGGATAGGTCATACATCGCCGACAGATGGGCGATAGGGCACCGATCCCGAGTCCGCTCCTCACGTTCCTGGGCGGCGCGGGCTATCGAGGCCGCCTCGGCGATGAGTGGACGACTGGGGGCCGATTCGATGCATCTCCCCCGAGCCCTTCTCCCCCAGGCATGGCCCCTGAGCCTTCTTTCCCCCTCTGAGCGGCTTTCCCCCAGACTTCCAAGCGTCGAAAAAAAACAACACCGCGACGGGACGTCCTCGCATCCTGGGGATATGCTTGGGGCATGGGGCACTAGAAGAACGGCCCGCCGCGAGAAACTGGTCCCCTGGAGGGGGCGAGAACTCTGCTGCGCATCTCAGCACTCACTCCGACAGCACTGGGGCCCTTCCTCCCCGTGGAAAATCTGCCCCCCCCCCGCTGGAAAGTCGGGGGGATTCTAGCCCCCACTTGCACGCCTGCAGACGACGAAGACGACGCTGACACAGACGACGAGGACAACGCCAATCGAAGACCGACGACCAACAATGACAACGGTGGGACATAAAGTAGCGTGGGGGGAGACGAGAACTGAAAGAAACGTGTTCTGGACCGTGGGGCCTTCCCCCAGGACGAGATCGTCATCCCGAGCCGCGTTTCGATGAGATTCCCGAACCACTCCGAGGGCCCGTGAACTGCGAGAATCCTCAGGACCCGCTTCCCTCAGGGCCCGCTTTCCCCCCTGACGAATACAGTCGGACTTCGTTGGACAGGACACGCGAGAGGACAGGAGACCCCTCCGAGGGCCACATTGCCATAGGAATGCAGTAGTAGGCATGGGTCGCGAGACGAAGGACACAAAGGCACCCTTGATTTGGCAGGGCCGACCTGCTCATCCGGGCCGAATGTACAAAAGCGTCGGGCGGGTCGGACCAGTGGGGCGGTGAAGTGGGCGGGTCGGCGGGGCGGGGCAGCACAGCGGGCGGGCGGGTGGCGCTCCGAGGCGGGCGGGTCGGTCGGCTCCAAGGAGGGCGGGGCATTCGCTGTAAGCTTCGCTCGCTGGCGGGGCGGGACTGGCGGGGGAGACACCCAAAACAACCTGGGCCTTCGACGGCGACACTGACGACGACGGGCGGGACATGGAAGCGGGTCGCCGGGCAGGGCAGGGCAAGGAGACCGCGCACGCTGATGCGACAAGGCTGGGGGCACACAAACTACGAACACCTAGGAACTGAGGACAGGGATGATGACAGGGGGTGACATTCAAACGGGCGCGTGGACAGGACATTCAATGTAAACCTCGCTCGTTGATGGCACAAGCCTCTTCGTCGTCGTCGTCGTCGTCGGCGTCAATGTCAGTGTGAGCGTCAGCGTCGTCGTTCCTCGTCGGCGTTACCGTCGTCGTCAGCGTCGTTGCAGTGGTCGAACTCGTCGTCGTCGCGCTCATCATCGTGCCCGTCGTCGTTGTCAGCTTAGTGCCAGCCTTCGTATTTTCCTTCGTGGTTTTGTCGTCGTCATCGACGTGGTGTTCGTCGTCGTTTGCTGGCGCGCAGGGAGGGGCTCTTACCCGCCATTCGAAGGGAGGGGGGGAAATTCTAACCGCCAACCTCCCCTTGGAGTGACCCTCCCCACTTTTGAGATTGCCAAAGACTTTGGGAAAGGGGCTTCCGCGGAGTATCGACGGTGTTCCTGCAGGCGCCTGCAGAATACGTTCTTCTGGAGCTCCGGGGGCCAGCATGGTGACAGAATCGCAAAGTCAACAGCTTGATGAAAAACGCTGGCCCTAGCCGAACAGGTCCTGGGCCCAGGGTGGGCCCAAGGACCATCGATGCCGATTCGCTGCCCTGCTCATGGGCGCAGGACTGGCCCGGCCCCGCTCGGCGTCAGCTTGTGACTTGCATCCCCCAGCCTCCGTCACAATGCCACCGCGGTGGTACAACTCGTGGTCGAAGACCACCGCGCACCCGGTGGAGGGTTCAACAGGCACGAGGCGGTCGGACACGAACGTCGTGCGGCCGCCGACGAAGGAGCTGTTGAGATAGAGCTGGACGGTCAGGAAGCTGCGACCCCGCGCATCCTCGTGGGCGCAGTCGGTGTGGTCCCCGGAGTGGTGCATCCCAGGAAGGTACTTCAAGAAACGCAGCCGCTCGTTGACGCCGACCAGGAGCCTCCCAGAGCCGGGCGGATACTCGGCGGGCAGCAGCTGCGAGAGCCTGGCCGTCACCGCTGCCGCCACCTGGGGCGCGTCGACCAGGCAGCGCAGGGCGAAGCGGGCCTGCGGGTTGAAACCCCGGGAGCCTGCGAGGCCGTAGCCCGCAGCCTCCGTCAGCTCGACCAGCCGCGCGCACTCGGCCGCGTCCAGCAGGCCCTCCAGCGAGCGCGCAAACCTGCCGCCGAAGATGCTCGGCCGACCCCGCTCCGTAGCGAGCGGCACCTCCGCGCCACCGCCGCGCGGCCGCTGCGCTGCTGGCGGCCCGAGGCCAGCGTCCGGCACGGCCACGGCGCCGCCGTCGTTCAGGCAGAGGGGGAACCGCTGGCCGTCCAGCACGACGGCGCTGCGGCCGTCCGCGTAGCGCACGGAGCGCGGCAGCGGCGGCCACTCCGGCCCCAGGGCGGCCTCCACTCTTGGCGCTGGCACTCCCAGCTGGGCGGCCAGCCGGTCGCAGAGGGCCGCCCACTCGGAGACTTCGCAGCGCTCGAAGCCACTGGCGGCGGTCACGCTGGTCTCCACCTCGCGCGCCAGCTCCACCAGCATGCGCTCACGGCACGGCCTGCCCCGGCTGTTCACGTCCACATCCTCGGTGCGCATCTTGCGCTCCCACATGCCGATGCCGGCCTCGTCGCCACGCAGAGCGATGCAGATCATGCGCCCTGGCTTAGGAGGCAACTACTGGGAGGTTTTCGTCGGAAAGATTAGAGAGGATTAAGCCCCGTTTGGGAGCTGTCACGCCGGAGTGGGTCTCGGACTAAGCAGGATTAAGCTGCATCAAACGGGATTAAGCAGGATTACGCCGGATTGAGCGGGATTAAGCCAGGTTCAGCCGGACTGCTGACCAGGGCAAAACCATAATTTGACCTCCCAGGAGTTGCATCCGAGCCTGGCAACACCACCAGGCCGCCCAGCAGCCCACCGTCGCCCGCGAGCTGGGCGATGCGGCCGGCGTAGGCCGAGGGCAGGCCATCGTGCAGGCACTTCATGGGCCAGTCGAGCTTGTACAGGGCGGCGCGAGTCCCGCGGGCCCCCTGGGCGACGCCGGGCGGGGCCCCGCCCTGCTCGGCGCGGAGCCTGGCGCGCAGTTCCATGAGAAGAATGCCCAGCCTGTTCTGGCCCGCCTGCGAGGGCACGTGGTAGCCCCATATCAGGTCTGGGCTGCCCCGATGCCCGTCAACGAGCTCCCGGTCACCCGTGGCCAGGAGCCGTGCACGAAGGCCCGGGTCCTCGAACTTGGCCGCCAGGCAGGCGGCCATCACATCCTCGCGGACGTCCCTCCAATCCTGCGTGGGAAGGGCCCGCTTTGAGCTACCCCACAAAGACAGACGAATCACCCACCAGGTCTCGACATGCCTCGACGGACATCGTGGGCTCGCTGTCAAGAGCACCCCAAAAGAGCTTCAGGGATAGCCCGAAGAGGCGACCACTCGACTTTCACGCGGGGGGCCGTCCTCAAGCGCACCCCCCCCCCCCTTTTGACCGATTGCCTTTGGGATAGCTCCATGACGGCCCCAGAGGCATCGAACAGAGCCTCCAAATGCCCCCAGCCATTTCCAACATCGCCCCAAGATGGATCCACGATGCTACGATGATCCCCCAGATGGTCATTGGAGGGGCAGGCCTGCTCGGGCTGACCCCAGACTATCGTCGCGAGCTGCCTCATCTGGGGGCCTTTGGAATGGCGCGACCCTATTGAGCAACTATGGAAGGGGAGGAAAACGGGGACCATGACCAAGACTGACAGCGGAGCCGTCGTGTTGGTCGTGGTCAGAGCCCACCTTGGTCAGCGTCAAACCGTGGATCATCCTCGGAAACCGGCGACGACCAGCATGGACCGTCTCCAAGGTCGGCGCCGACAAGATCCCGCGGTATCTTTGTCATGGCCAGCGTGTTTCTTGAATAGACATGAAGAAATAATGACGAGCAGAATGAACAGTGCGTAGAGATATACAGCCGGTAGAAAGGGAAAAGACAGCAACGAAGATATCATAGGGATAATGCGCTAACCACTTTCGGCACCCTTTGATCTTGCCTGCCACCAACATGCGGCCTTCACGTACGTCATGCGAGCAAAAGCCCGCGGTCTTCTCAAATGCCATGTTTGTTGGCATGCCTGTAACCATCTTCTCCTCCTCCCCCCCTCCTTCGATCGGCGCGACGGTGGGGATGGCATCACAATCTGCGGACCCGACGGGTGACCCGCCACCGCAGCCATGGCGAAGACGGGGTGGGCAATGTTAAATGGGATCCCACACTCTGATTTCCGTGAGTTAGCCGGGCAGGAGGTGTACCCACACGTAGTGTGGTCCAGGTGGAGGTAATACCCATCAGGAAAAACACGTCGTGCAGATCGCCGCCATGACAGACTCCGATTGGGTTTCTCGGATCTCGGGCGTACAGTAAGTGGTTGGGCAGAGCAAGACACCAACAATGGACGAAATGCTGAACGCATGGTCGGGGCAATGCTTCGGCTAGGAGGTCGACAATATAACTGATGGACCCCCACAGAAATCTGTTGCCGTCGGGTATACAGCATGTTGTATAATGTTCTAGATCTGCGAACATCCCACGTACTGTTTCATACTCGACGGAGATGACAAGCATCCCAAGAGCCCTCCAAGAGACAACTGAGAGACATTCCCAGGGACCTTCATATTCATTTAAGAGCCTCCTGACCCACAGCCCAGGCATGGTGGCGAGTTGGGCCGAAGGCCAACAAATAACTTCCACGATCGTCGGAAGCTCTGACTCCTTCCGGAGATCGGCGGCATGACGTAAGCCACTGAACGCCACACCTGAAATGACGTGCTGAGCGGCAACGTTTTCTCGCGAACGCCTTAACGCAACGTGTCCAATGAAGCCACTACTACATTATTGCTACAGGTTGTATTCTCTTAGATTATAATGTCTCCCACTGGGGCGGGCAGAACGGCACGGCAGAACTCCTCGGCAAACGAGCAAAGCAAGACACTCACGCTCAATTTTAACGTGCTCCGGACGTGCACTCCGCGAAGCGAGAGGAATCAGTTCAGTAGCCAATCTCCTGTCCGAGAACTACTGCCGAGAATTAGCAGCTGTCATTTCAGCTCGGGGCGAGCGGACAATGTGCGAGGCGGCGCCTCGGGAGCAGAAGGCAGCTGCTTGCCTGTTGAGCACGCGTGTTGTAGCAAGCTTCTCCTCCTCCTCCTCCTCCAAAACCACCTCCTCCACCATCTCCTCCTCCTCCTCCTCCTCCTCCTCCTCCTCATCCACCCTCTCCTCTCTCCCTCTCCTCCTCCTCCTCCTCCTCGTCCTCGTCCTCGTCCTCCTCCTCCTCCTTCTTCTCCTCGTCCTCGTCACTCCTCGTCCTCCTGATCCTCCTCCTCTTGGGGGAGATGTCCAAGCGGGAAGCCTACAGCTGGACACCACAACCAAGATTGGGGATCCCCTCCACCGAAAAGGGCCGACCCAAAATCTTCGCGTTGGTGCTAGTGCTTAGCCATCATTTATGTGAAAACAAAACACAACTGATATGGTGGGCCATCGTCCACCGGCGCTGGCGACTCCTGATCTTCATACTGGTATTGATTTGTGCAGTCATCGTGCTGCCATACGTTGCCCGGAATAAGTACGGAAGGAGCTTCCTGGCCCTAGCGAGCCTCCGCAACGAATGGGGCCCCCGACACAGATAGAAAACACTGCCCAAGAGCAAAAGCCCCTCCCGAGCCAAAGGCGGTCCTTACTTCAACTTCCTATTGCTGTCCGCCTCTAGCCCACGGGGCGAGCCTCTGGTCGCCAGCCCCATGCCCCGAGAACTCCTCGGCCCCAGCCCTTCCGGGGACTGTCAGACTCATGCCGCAGGACACCTCAGACATTGGGCTCCACAGCTCGCTGCCCAAAGGTGAGCTGAGACTTCGCCCTGGAGACCCCGAAGAACATCGGAGGAGCACCGAGCCCCCATCCGAGCCTGAAGCGCTCCTTACACCGACGCCCTCGACTTTGTGACCTGACCGATCGCAGATGGCCCTCGATCCGCGGGTCCTCGCGCAGCGCCACCTTCCGTCCCAGCCGCTTCGCCTCGCCGAAGCTGAGGTCGGGCCGCGTGAAACCCCAAGATCGGCGCTCCGCGTTGGTCTTGAGCTTCGCCGCCTGGGGCACGCTGGGACCCCCTCGTAGTATAGCGCTTCGGAAATAAACAAGGACGGGGGGGTCGCCCCGATTAGAATGCGACTCCGAACACAACCTGGGTCGGGCGGCTTGATTGCTCTAGTAGCTTGTTGCTGCTATCCTGACAACGTTGCGATTGCCACAACATGGAATGTAACAAGAAATGTGATCGGGCCCGTTGTTTCTGCGCTTGGCATCACTTCCCGTACCCGCTCGTTGCGTCTTGCGCTCTGTAACTAAAGGTGGGCTAGGAGGAGGTACGTATATCGAGTCCAGCTGGCTGGGAGGTTCTGGAGAAAGCGCTGAACCAACCTTGCACATGCAACTCCGATCGTGGGCGTGGGGCTACGAGCCGTACCGACGCTGGGGACACCTGCCAAACTGGAGAAGCCTTCCCAAAGATTGGCGCGCTGCATTGTTTGTTGTCTTGTACTCCGCTGCCTGGAATGCGTGCTCCACCGAAGGGTACTGCTCGGCCTCGAAGAGCAGCAAGGACCACGAGAAGTTGGATAGCCACTTGTTGGGGCCATTGAACGTCTCGATCGCCCCACCATTCGCCTGGCAGGCGCTAGGAAGGTGAATCTGCGCACGCGCATGGCCCCCCACGTGCCGAAGCGCCAGGATGCCCCGATGAAGACCCCCGAGGACTCAGGCAAGAGGACCCTTGGAGGCTCCCCAGAAGCCAGAGGAGGCAGCCCGAAGCTTTTGAAATTAGAGTTGTCCGAACGCCCCAGGAAGTCCCTTGAATCTCTGGGCAACTGCGAACGTCATTCCAGTTGCTGGGCGGCTGACTCTCACGTGGCAAGAAGGACACATGCACGCGTACACCTCGACGGGCACGATCAAATGGACGGCACGACGCCGAGATAGATGAGCATGGTCTCCGAGGGAGGTCACTCCTTTTCATGCTCCCGCCCCCTCTCCGCCTGCTGCCTGATCACCTCGGGCCACACACTGAGCAGGCCACTGCCTTCGATTCTAGCTGCGCTGCGCCAGCCCCACATCAACGTCACTCCCTTGCAACACCAACAGCGACAACTAAGTTAAGACTTGTCGCTCTATTTCTGCCCGCGTGCTCTCAAACATGTGTATCTCAAACCTCGACCCCCGCTATCTTCGCCTTCGATCGTCCCCCCTTTGGGGGTATAACTTCCTGACGTGCCGCGTGTAGTTGGCGAAGCCCCTAAAACATGGGGGAGGAGGGAAGGGGCAACGGGGAGAGATAAGGATGGAGCACGAACGAGATTAGAAGGGGGGGGTCAGGAGCAGAACAGCAAGCGACGGAACCCGACGGGCGGGTCGGGCGGGTCGGGGCGGGCGGGACCAGACGGCAGGGTCAAGCGGGCGGATCGCTGTAACGTCAGTCCTGCATGAGTCGCCAGGACATCTCTAGCGATAGCGCGATTCCCAAGACATCGTGAGGACATCCAAGACGAGAGCGTAATTCCAGAGATTTCGGGGCGCGGCGCCTCAGTCAATGTAAAGGACGTGCAACGCGAGAGCGCGATTCCTGGATGCAGTGTGAGGGGAAGTATCTCGCGGCAGCCATTGCTGCTGTTGTTGCTGTTTTTGTGTGAGCCGGGTGCCAGCAACACAATCTGGGGCCAACTACTTTTCCTTGGAAAATCAGAACAGCGCCAGCCCATTTCCAGAGATGGCCGGCGCCCCTGCGCCAGCAAAGGGAACGTTGGGAAGCGCTGCCTGGCCGGAGCCGTTTGGGTCTCCCCCCAAAGACTCCCAGCCAGGACAGGGCGCCGGCGCAAGCCTCAAAGGGCGGCGAGGGTGGGCAAAGCTCCTGACGAGGAGCAGTAGGCGCAGCCCCTTTCAGCAAACACTCTGGCCCCCAGACGCCACCGCGAGACGCAAAGGAGCCAGAGGCACCTGGGGTCCCAGCCCCCAGGCGCCGCGGGCGAGGCGCGGGGTGCCAGCCCCCAGGCCGCATGCGACTGAGGGCGACAAGCACGCCCCGGTTGCACCATCTAGGAGGGAACACCGGGGCGGCAAGCTGCAAAGCTGCCGCCCCCGCCACATCAATACTTCCGCCGTTTCGCGCAGAACTCTTCCGCCGCACTGCCAAGGAACCGCTTCCCCCGCGAAGCAGGCAGAAGCGCGCGAGCCACGCGCCCGCAGGCAGAGGCGTGTGAGCAAGGCGTGTAAGCAAAGAGGCGTAGAAGCGTAAACAATGGGTACTGCGCCTCATGATTTTCCTGCTGCAGAAATGAATTTATGATTCACGAAAATCATAACAGCGCCAGCCCATTTCCAGAGATGGCCGGCGCCCCTGCGCCAGCAAAGGGAACGTTGGGAAGCGCTGCCTGGCCGGAGCCGTTTGGGTCTCCCCCCAAAGACTCCCATTGCACCAGAAGGCGACGGACCGCGCAGCAGCGCCGAACAGATAATGTCGTGGCATATTTTTGGCCCCTGCGCACACGATGCACAGAAAGGCCTGCTCGCCGTCGCTAGAATCGGAATGATCGACGAGCCACTCTGCGGCCGTCAACGCTCCTCGGCTTTGGGCACTGACATACCCGAAAGCTGCAACGCCCCTCCAGCCACCGCTGAAGAACAAGGCAGCGGGCCCTCCTTGTTGAAGCGCCTCATCCGCAAAACCACGCCTGAATGCGCGAGTCCCCCAGGCAGGCGCGCTCCGCAAACGCAGCGCCGCAGCCGCCAGCTTCAAAACAGCCAGGGCGTCGGCGTAGCGAATCTGAGCAAAAGGGATTGCTTCGCGCTCTGCTAGGGAGAACAACGAACAGACGCCGCACAGCGCCCGGCCCTGCAATTTGCAAATGCAGCGCCTGGTTGTCTCGCACGGCTCATTGTAACACTTTCTGTGGGCGAAGCGGACCACGCATGCCCTGCGATCGCCGATGCTGAAACGATAAGACACTGCAGGCCTGCCTAGATTCAACAACTCAGAATATCGCAAGCAAAATTGGCGAGCGATAACCCAGGATGCTGCCAGGACAAAGTATCCTGCGTCGCAACACCATTTGTGAATTCTCTTTGTTTCTTCTGCGGTGGCTCGAATCTTCTCTTTCCTGAATATGTCCTGCGTGATCTTATCTGCACCACGTGCCAATCTTTGCGTGTCTGCCAGGATGCCCAAAGGAGCATTCAAGAGATGCAACACACTCCGTATGTGCGACAGATACCTTTGAAGAGTATGGCCATTGCGGAAGAAACCAACGAACACGTTCAATATCGATTCTGCCGGCGGCCATTCGTCGCCGGAAATGCTTTTGGCTGCCTGGCCCCACAACCTGACAGCTGAAGCATACTGCGGGGCGCTCTTTTTCCATCCCGCGAACTCTATCCACAAAACATGCAGATTGAGGTGATCACTGGTGGATCCTTCGAGCCTCGGTTTCTTTGCTTCTTCGCGCGGGGTGCCAGAAGGCTCGCCCCCTGGGAAGCATTGGCACTGGGAAGCAGCGACCAACGCGGCGGCCAACACGGCACACGCAGGAACACTCTGGGAACGCCTGGCTTCGCCAAGAACAATCAGTGCGGCTCGCTGCTTTGCCTCGCTGTGCGCGCCCATATCTGGCACACTTGCAGCGCCAAATATATCACTGGGCGTGTTGCTTGCACTTTGGGCTGCACAGGGCGCGCCCCCGCTCTTTACATCATTGCGGCCCCGGCGCGTCTGCGATGCCAATTCGCGATCAGCGCAGCGCTGGCAATGCGAAAGGAAATTGTTGATGAATCCGAGGCTGTGGCCGCCAAAAGCAGGAACGAGACCGAGAAGATCCTGAGCGCACAGGCCGCTCAAATCAGAATGGCGGCAAAAACCATTGCAGGCGAGCGCTTCGCACAACGCCGACACGTCCAGCGCCCTCTGGCCAGCTGCAGCCCGCAAAGCCTGCTCAAAAATTGACTCCGACTGGCTTGCCGATACTGGTTCTTGCGGCGCACTAGAGGAACTGAAGGTTCGATTCCGGCTATCAGAAATGAAATTGAGCATTCTGAGCCATCACACTACGGAGTGGCAGGCCGAGCAGGGCGAGCGTGCCACGCGCACCTTTCCGCACACGCAAGCACGCATGTTGTTTTTCTCGGCGGTCGATGCTTTTTCTTCGTCTCACACGCCCCAGGGTGCGTTGTCGGGGAAAACCCAATCGATGCACCGAAAACCGTGCGCAGTCAAGTCGGCAATTTCCTGCGCCTTTTGGGATGGCCGACTGGGCGCATCTGCCAAATTCAAATGAGACGGCACATACCAGAGATGCATTAAATACGATTTCTGGCTCGCGAGAAGCCACAGATTGCCGATTAGACAGTTCCAATCGGATTTCCGCGAGCAACCCCGCACGAGAGCGCCTAGAGCACTGGTGTTGTCGACAAAGCAGATGATTTCTAAATCGGCGTGGCCGAGCTGCATCACCCAGCGCAGCGCGCACACTGCGGCCATTAGCTCCCAAGTGCCAATCTGATTTTTCCGCCAGTGCGCCCATCTGCGGGCGCTTTCGGGCACATCTGTGGAAGCCCACACTTTGGCAAAAGGCGCGTGCAACACCCATGCCATTTTGCCAGCCCCCGTGGCGTCAGTGTACAAAATGCACCTGCGCCGCTCGCGTGGATGCACAGGCACGCGCCGCGAGGGCGGCGATTGCAAAAACTTATGCCACCATGCGAGAGAGAGCCTGGTTCTGCCTGCGATTCGACTCGTGCTGCCAGCGCTGTGGTAAAAAAGAGCTGCCAAAGGCGCCCTGGCGCCTCTGCCAAAAACAGCGCTCGCGCCCCAACTGAGCCGCGATGCAAGTTTCTGCGCCTGCGCTGGCGATAGGAAACCAGTGAGCAGTGCGTCGCTGATTTGGGAACTCCACAACTCGAGTTTTTCCCAACCGATTTGAAAATGCATCTCCTGGGAGGCGTCATCAAAGTGGACGTCAACTCCGAGAATCGTCGCGGAAGGCTGTTCCGTGACAGCCTTCGCGGCGTCTAGTTCCCAGCCAAGGAGGTCTGAAATCACCTGCCTGGCTAGATTCGCTGTGCCACTGGGGCCGGTCAAGCTCTGATCGGCTGTGCCAGTCGATTCATCGGCTGCGTCACCTGCAAACAAGTCATCGACGAAGCGGAGGTACAGCACTAGGAAAATCTGCATCAGCACGCCCTGAATTGCAAGCCCGAATCGCTCCCATCCGGAAACAGACGCTGACGCGCCAAACGGCATCGCAAGAAGCTGGAGACACTGGTCTTTCGCCAGTGTTTCCGGCCAGGCCACCACTGCCAGAGGCAGATGCGAACTGCAAATGGGTAGCGTTTTAAATGCCTGCACGAAGTCGTCTTTGCGCCAGCGAATGCGGAACGGCACTCGAGGCGGAAGCTTCCAAATTGAAGCCACTAAAGAATCTAAGGTTTCAGGGAGCATCCTTTCGGACACCCCTGTGGCACCATTGACGCCGGAAGCCGAAAAGTCGTCCACGCACCTGACCTTCGGAACTCTGCCAGCGCTGGTGTTTTTCCAGCCCTGTGTGACTGGGAAACGCGGTGTCACGATGCAACGATCGATATTCAAGTGCCGAATTCGCGCTTTGCCTTCTCCGATCTCACGA